CTGCCGCTCGGTGATGAGCGAGCACTTGTCGCACAGGCACAGCTTCCAGCGGCAGTGCCCGGCGTGGCCCTTCACCGGCACCACGAAGCCGTGGTTGCGGCAGCGGGAGCATTTGGGTGCTCGCAGGGCCGCCTTCGCCGTGGCCTCGGCAGCCTCCATGGCCCAGCACTGCCAATTCTCCCGCCCTCGGGCCGGGGGCAGGGCCGCAGGGCTCTTATAGGGGTGCTGCCCCCACATGTAGCAACCCGGGCCCGTGGGGCAGCGGGTGGTGAACGCCCTTGGCCCCCCGGCCTCCCGTCCCTCGGCCAGGCAGGGCTCCCCTGGGGTCCCCCTGAGGCCCATTGGTGCAGCCTGGCACCAAAGCTCAGCTTGGGGGGCCGAGCCTGCAGGAGCGGGGGCATGCGGCACATTTGAGTACATGTCCTGTGCTGGTGCACATGTCCTGTGCTGGTGCACATGTCCTGTGCTGGTGCACATGTCCTGTGCTGGTGCATGCAGGGAGGGGGAGTTTTGGGTGAGCAGGGAGAGAAATGCAGTGTCCCTTATTGCCCTGAGAGATAGTTTTCACTTTTGGCACTTTAACAATCTGCAGCCACTTTCATACCCCTCATGCGTTCACTTTTAATGTGCACAGGTTTTCAGTCCCGTTTTGTTTCCAATTTGCAGCGTGCTTCTCTTGATCAGGAGGAGTGGCTGCCTCAGCAGAAAAGAACCACTTTCATCATTCTGTTTTTCAAAAGGAGGTACTAACATGAAGGTGGAAAGCATATGTCATTCGAAAGACCCGTCTCCTTTTCTCAGAATTCCTTATTCTCTGGAAACAAAGGCAGTCTTACAATTAGAAATACAGGAATGCTCCAGTTCTAGTATTGCTTAGAAAGCACTTGTTATTTGTTCCTGCTGGTAGCTGCAAACCCATGGTTTACACAGTAACCCATTTCAGGAGAAAACGTCTCACTTTGCAATGTAAACACTGCTGATTTTTCTCGCCTATACAATAGCTGTGTTTTAAAATCCAGCTGCTTCTACCTTAAAAAGAGCACCACAACAATTAACCACCAAGCAGTTGTGAAGCTTTCTACTAAGTTTCAAGAGAACCAGGTAACATCTGCTTGCTCTGAAACAATTCTAACATGCAAAGGAGCGTGTTTCGAAGTCCAGCAGAAGTCCTTCCCTTGGAGCAAGTAATCCTGCAAGAGCTGGGTGCACCCTTCAATACCTTGGGGCATAAGGCCCCTGCAATAGCAGGCCCTTTACAGATTTGGCAACAGTCTGGGTTGGCAACAGTTTCGTTTGCAGAGAGCAGCCAAGCCCCTGTGCCCTTGCAAGCCACCAAAGCTCAGACTTCTCACTTTGCAAAAGACCCAGTAGGACTTTGCACCTAAACCCTTCAGGTTTCCAGTAGGATTTTGCCTCCCGGGGAGATGTTTTTGTAAGTGCAATACCGGCAGACAAGCCTGGACTTGCTCTTGAAAGCAATTCATACCCAAATCCTAAATGCACACAATCCCTGGACCACTTGGCACAGCTACAGTCCCAGCCTGCAGATTTTACTATCCCAGTTGCAGATGAGTCTTCAGTAGCTGCTTTTTTGAGGGGGCTCTCAGCCATGCCTTTGCAGCCATGCAGTCAGGGATCCTGTGCAAGAGCAGGGCCAAACCTGCCCGGGCACAGGGCAGGTCACGTTCGTGTTCTGTAGGAGCTGGGTGAGGGATTGCAGGCTCAGCAGCTCCTTCTGGGAGCAGGAGGCAGCAAGGCATACATGTCAGTGGAATCAGCTCCCTGCCCTCACTTGCAGGCAGTCTAGAAACCTTCATGTGCATGGCCATGTGTCCCTTACCATTTATTCCTCCTTCAGAAAGGCACTTGGTTGATGTGCCTTCAATAGAAGCTCCTCTTAAATGCAGTCTTGAAATGCTGCTCGCTTGTGCCAGGGCCTTGATGTTCCCGTGCTCATTCTAAACATTGACTCTGTATTAAATATAGAAGATAAAATAGTCCTAATTTTATGCTCCATATTTTTACTCTATCCTGAGAATGTGATAATTTAGCTGTAGAATGAAAGAGGATGGATGACATAATTTAAAAAACTGTAATTATATCTTTTCATAGATACCCAATCTGTGTTCATTTGGATACTTGAGCAGTGGGGGAGAAAGGTACACCTTCCCCAGTAATTTTCTATTCTGAGTCACATACTACTATTATTTGATACATTTACTCAAATATACTGAAATTTATCTCTTCTCTCTTTAAAAAGGTATACCAGCCATGGGCTGTAACAGTTTATCTATTAATTAAACCACAACTTTCAAACTCATGTGCATTTTTCTTTTGACCATCTTTCACCCAAACATTCAGGATTTATTATACTCTACATATAGTTTGTTTCAAACGTAACTAGACTTGCTTTTTATAGAAAAGTGAACATTTTACTTTGTTTGTGAGGTAAATCCTTATTTCTGGAGACTTATTTCTGCAAACAGTTCAAAGGATTCTGCTCTCCCAATCCCATTATGTGTTTGTATATATATTTGAATTAGCTTAATCGCACACCATAAGCAAGACCATCACAAAGAGAAGACAGAACAATTTCAAAATACATTTTTGGAATGAGATGTAGACTTGCACATGGATGCAGCTTCATGTCTATTATAATTTTCTTCTTTGCTCATATTTGAAAGAAAATGAGGCACAATAAAGACTCTTTTCTTTAAAACTTAGTTTAGCAATTTATGTAACATATGGTGGGAGTGTAACATAAAGTGTGTACAGAGTTGTGTATTAAAATAGCATTTATAAAAATTATCATCCTGCCAAAATGAAAGGAAGGCAACCTGCTTACTTCATGTTACTGAAAGCAATAGCAATAACATCTCTACTCATTTCCAATTTCTGACTCATAAAGTGTGTGGTTTTGGTATGCAGTTTGCTTTGTACATGAAACAGCGAGGAAAAACAATGACTTAGCTAAAAGGGAACAAATCAAAAGATGGCCTTAAAAATGAATAGCAGAAAATTGGGTTTTGTTTTTTTCCTTCTTCTCAGATTTTCCAGCTAACATTTTATACAGTAAATCTTTTTGGCAAGGAAATTGTTCTGCTTAGATCTGACATTTCACAGAGCAACAGTGACATAATCAAGAAATTTGTTCAGTCTGAGATCTCCATTAGAAATATTTCCAAACTTGATTCAAAATACATGTTTTCTTATGCATAGAAATCAAGAGTATCTTTTGAATTTTTAAGGCATTCTATATGAAGATGAAATCCTCTGTTCGAAAATGATCTTTGTAGTTAGGAAGTGTCCATTATGTACTGCCATAAGTCATTATATAAAAATTAATATGGTGATAGTATTATCAGCTCTTCTGCATTATAACTGCTTGGTAGGTTGTTTATGGCCATCAGTGAGGGTAGAATTGACAAAAGATTTACCTGCAGAAGCAGAACTGCCCAAGGAGGACTCTCACCTTCACCTGGCCCAGAATATCATTTTAATAAGTAGCCTATTTAGCATAAGTAGCATATTTAGAAGCTCCTTATAAAAAATATTAAAGTATTTCAAACATCCCCTGACTGACCTGCATTAGAAAATCCCCCTTTTGCTGTTGAGCTGACACCAGCACACATCCATCAGTGCTGTCACAGAACTGCAGGGCTCAGCTCTGCTGCCATGCCTATGAGCTTGTCTGATCTGCCCAAAGCAAGCCCACATGACAGTGAATAAACTTCTTTGAGTCACTTCTGGAGACTGTATTTTCCACCCTTCTAATCAGTGTGAAATTGTACTGTAGTAAACATTTTTCTTAAAATGTGAGGAAAAGTGCAGCACAGAAGCAATTCAATATGATTAGACTGTATCTACCTTAAAATTTGAAATGGCTGAAATGTGTTTGGGTTACACAAATTTTAAACCTGGTTGCAATTAAGTTGTTTTAATTGATATAAACAGATTTACCTCTTCGATTCTCTTTCGGCATCAATTCCTTTATTTTAAAATGTTGTCTTCAGTAATCCAAACAGGAATTCCGCCAGTGTTTTGTTGTTGTTGTTTTTACACAAGTTTTAAAAAGAGCACAATTAGATGTTGACTTTCATCTGATATATCAAAAAGGTGAAACTCTATGCTGTGATCAGAGAAAACTGGATGGAGTTTATACATATTTAAAGTCTTAAGAATTTACAAAAGTTATATAAAGCACTTCTGTTTTTTTAACAAATATAACTAAAAGCTCAAGTACTTAAAATATACTTAAAATGAGGATCTTTTTAATATATAACAGGAAATCAGTTCTTAAATATGAACAGCAGAGACTTTATTAGTAACACTGCTGTTTGTTCATTGTAACAAGATCTTTCTTTAAGAGCAAAGCAATAGTCATTAAACTGGAAACTCTGTGATCTGGTTATTTTACGAGTACCAGGAGGGTAAGGTGGACCAGGAGAGAAATGAGCACCAGCAAGGAAATAAACCACGCACCAGTTTTTGTTCTGTATTAACATACCTCTCATATAAGCAGGAAATAAAATGCATTAAGGGGAAAAGAATGAGACAGACATAAATACACACACACACAGATCCTTTCCTCAAATAAGAGATAGAGTGTTTAAAGGTCCCTATCTGGAAAAAAATAGATCCATGGTCCCAACCTCCTGTGGGAGTTGTTTGGTCAGCTTGCAATAAATAAGGATCACTGTATCATTGAAGTCTGACAGTTTGCTTATATTTCCATGTCTAAGAAACTTAATAATTATCCCTTCAAAAGAAATCATTTGTTTCTTTAGGTCACCTTTGTGGGCATTAACAGAAAAAAGAGAAACTGAAAACCCAAAGAACAGGCCACTGTGGTAGTGCTATGGCAGCTGCAGGGGTGCCTTAGTTACAGCACCATTTTACTTCAGTAGGCTCCCAAATTTAGCAGGTTTTATCCTGGATACCACCAGGCTTGTCAATCACTCTTCTGCCTAGAGAAATAAACACATTTCTAATCCAGAGTCCTCATTCTCCTTCCCCTCAGCTATGGTTCTTGTCATATTATCTTAGACACAAAGAACAGAAAATCACATTTGAATTCTCCCGAACAGCAAAAAAAGGATTTCATGCAGAAACAGTCACGCTCCCCACAGTAAGTAGGTGGCCCGTTTAGAGTCATCTTTGCTTAGCACCTATTTAGTGCTGAAATTGTCACATTACCTTGTCAGCAAGCCTAAAGCAATGCTATAGATGGATAAGGCAGGAGACAGCTGAAAGACCACTACAAACATCAAGTGTACTTGCTGTGGGCAGGATTCCATTTGTGATTGTCAACACGGGTACATATCCCACATTTTGTAACTGCATTTCTCCACCTCACATCTGAATTAGATTTCAGAATATCTGAA